ACGCGCATCCACAGCTTCACATCCATACAGGCGTATCTCTATCAGAGATTTCTCGAAATACAGGAGACGATCATCCGATGACGATGGATTCACCAACATTAGGCCACCCGGAAATAATTTTGAACAGCCAAGGATTTGAGTCGACGCCCGGCGACCTGCGACCTGACTCCGCCGCAACAGCAGTGTCTAACGAGACCCATATCACCGCATTTGATCCAGAGCCTCAGGATGAGTTTTCCAAGCAGAATCTACATGCATCGCATAGAACCCTATTGAGCCAAATAATGCGTATTCGTGATGATTCCAGCCCCAGCGGTTCATCGTGCGATGACCAAGATTATGGGTTTTCTGACAATGAAGAGAAGGAGTCAATTCCCATTGTTCTAAGAGATGCGTTGACTATCGAAAATTCTATAGACAGCTGTGAGAACCAAGAGCATCATGATATTTATATCAAACGAGGTGGTGCTGATGGCGATCCAGCGAACCGCTGGAGTATGAGTTCCTGGTCTTCTTCCCTGCATCATGGAAATTCTTCAGGTGGGCAATGTGAGGGCAGCGATGACGGTCTTTCTAACATACAGCATTGTGCCGAGGATAGCGAAGAGGTCTCTACTCAGTCATGTTCTGCATCTTCGAGCACTCCGTCCGTCATTGGTCATCAACTTCCTCATTCATTGTCCCAGACACCCAATGAGGTAACAGAGCCAAGTAGAGACGTCATATCACATACAATTCCTTACGGATCGTCCAACACACCCAGTTTAATAAGGCTGGGTGGATGGGATTCTAAACGTGTGTCTCAACTTTACATAGAGGAGCTTGCGAGTGGCAGGAGTCATAAGCTTCCTATGCCGGCAATACGTGCGTCTCCAGATCCGCCACATTCCCGGATTGAGCAAAGGGGTGAAGGAATAAAAGATAATCTGACTGATGACCCTGTCCTAATAACGGAAACTGACCGTGTTCCACCCTCAGAACGCATGCGACATCCAGCAAGCTTGTTTTTACGCGATGACTGGGAGCATGCGTCTCCATCAATTATGGATTGGATGCAGATCGCCGTCGATGAAGGATCATCACCTCAAGACCTCGAGATTGACGGCAGCCGAGTAGTTAATCGTGTCCCAATACCGCGCCTAGTGACTCCCGACGCACATCCAAGAGGAACCGACGAAGGCCTAGGCCTGGCAATCAATGTGCAGCTACCTGAGGAGCTTGATAATGATGATGTCCCACCGCCTCCTATACCACGTCATGACCCTCCGGCTCCCCCCTCCGACACTCTAGAGAGCGCTGCTCATCCTCCCCTACCCGTGGTTCATCCCAACATCTTTTCGAATGCTATCTTCGCGCCGCTGGGGCCCGTTCAAAGTACCGATAGCAGTGAAGACTCCTCTCTCCGACGACTTGAGCCGACGCCTTCTTCACAGACTTTGGCCTCATCGGCAACTTCTTTGGTCCCTTCGACTTCAGAACACCCTCGCCCACAAACCGCATCTCCATCCCCAGAAGAACGTCAATTGAAGAAGCGGCGACATGTCATAAAGGAATTAGTTGATACGGAACACACATTCGGAAAAGACATGAGAGTCGTCGATCATATTTATAAAGCAACTTCGAGTTCTTGCTTAGACCTCTCCGCGGAAGATGTCAAAGTGCTGTTTGCAAACTCGGACCAAGTTGTGAAATTCTCTATGGAATTCCAGGACACTCTTAAGGAGGCAGCGAGAAGTGTTTATATAATGCCTAAATCTCAACGTTGGACAAGCCAGCGTAATGCGCGAAATCCTATAGCGAAGACGGATCAAGAATTTTCTACTGGAACTAGCACTTCAAACCTGGAGAAAGATAATGCGACTTTCATTGGGCAGGCATTCATAGCGCACATAGAAAACATGGAGAAGGTTTACGCTGAATACCTGAAGAACCATGATGCTGCCAATAGGAAACTTCAGACTCTGCAAAAGAACCCGAAAGTGGATATCTGGCTCAAAGAATGTCGGAGCAGATCATCGGATCTCACAACAGCATGGGATCTAGACTCATTACTCGTCAAGCCAGTACAGCGAATCTTGAAATACCCCCTCCTTTTGAGTGAACTCCTTGAATCAACACCTAAGGACCATCCGGACCGTGCTGCACTCATTAGTGCCCTTGAAGAAGTTACGAACATCTCCGTTCGCATCAACGAGCTGAAAAAACGTGCAGATGTCGTGGGGCAAGTGGTTGGTCGCAAGAGAAAAGAATCTGATGTCAGGACAGGCCTATCAAAGGCATTTGGACGTCGCACAGAGAAGCTGAAGCAACAGGTTGGCCTTTCCGATATGTTCGAAGACAAGGAGTACGATATTCTCTCCCAGAAGTTCGGAACCAATTTCATGCAACTGCAAGTTGTCATGCGGGATCTGGAATGGTATACAAGTAAAGTCCAGGGATTTATGGACTGTTTGGGTGAAATTACCAGTGCTATAGAAGAGTTTAAAGTCGGTCCAACTGCTTACCATGAAATTGAGGTCAAATGCGATGGCAAATGCGATGAGCTGAAGGCGGCTGTCCAAAGTGTGATGGCAGAGGCGTTACCCAGGCATGTAAGTACAACCCAGGGTGGACTCTTTAGTATCCAAAATGACTGACATTGTCTAGATCGCTGTTGTTCGTCAGAGCGTCATTGACCCAATAGTCACACTGCTTAAACTTCACGACGGACCACAGAGAGTGATGCACAAGCGCGACAAGCGCCTCATGGATTATGCCCGCTTGAAGAGTATCAAGGAACGGGGGGACAAACCAGACAAGAAAACAACCGAGCAAGGAGAGCAGTTTGTAGTCCTCAACGAGGCCCTCAAAGACGAACTTCCCAAACTCTACTCTCTCACCACTAAATTAATGGAGGCTTGTCTGGAGAAATTCGTTCATATACAAATGTCGTGGCTTGCAACTCTACAGGAGAAACTTGGCCCCCTAGTGGACTCATTCCCAGACGATATCCAGAAAGTAATTGGTGATTGGAATGCGAGTTTCAGCTTCTCTGAGGCGCAGGTACTCTCGTTAGGCATTTGCAACGGGTCATTGTTGGCTGACACTATCAACCTCATCAATTTCAACACTCCTCCAACCGGAGCAACTATTAGTTCGCCGCGGCGTCCATCAACAGTGAACAGCGCCAGCACTCGTGTCGGATCCACTATGGATGAGTCGCCCAAAGCTTCCCATGATTTCAGCAGCGGTAGTCAACCTTTCCGGTCACCAAGCTTTGATAGCCAGTCCCAAGTCTCTCTTGAACGCAAGCGTGCTGATTCAACTTTTTCGGGTCGCGCTGCGCCAGATTCAATTGAACTACCCCGGAGTCAAATGTTGCAACAGATTACTAGTTCCTCATCAGCTTCTATACCCCAACCTAGCTCTAACAGAGAGTCTTGTCCAAGCCTTCCTCGGTTGAGCCTTGATTCTCCATTCCTCGTCGACGTCATTGGTCCTTCTGAAAGTGGCGACAAAACAACCGAAGAACAGCCGAGCTCACCTGGTGGTGGTCGGTACTCAGGCTTTTTCTCATCCGCAATGCCAATGTCGGACAACCCACAAGACAGTGCTCCCCAGGAGAACGAGGCACCTAAAGAACCTGCTGTGCTATTCCTTGCCGCTAGTATTTATGAATTCAACATTGACCGTGCCCGACGAGAAGCCGGGTATCCCTACTTAACATATGTCGTCGGAGAGATTTTTGATGTCATCGCCGAAAAGGGCGAGCTGTGGCTAGCCAAGAACCAGGACGACCCTACTCACCAGGTTGGCTGGATCTGGAATAAGCATTTTGCGAAACTTTCCACCTAAAGTCACTGTCTGATGAAATCATTACTTGTTTCAATATTGTACATCTTGCATGGAGGTCTCCAGCGTCATGGTACCTGGGGTCTGTATGTCTTACTTAGACTGGATCTAACCCAGAAAACGTCGACGCTCCATAGAAGGCCGCCCTGGAGTTATCGGTCTTCACGTTCCTATTTATGAAATGTGTTATGAATTTTTGGGGGCGTTTCCTTGCATCCGCGTTTATTTCTTTATTTTTGTCTGCAAACCAGTCTGCTATTGCCTGGTGGTCAGGTCATCTTCTTTGATTCTGCTTTGAACCGTCTGGTATGCGCGGGGAAAGATATGTTATTCTCAGCTTTTGTGAAGGTGTTTGCTGTTTCTCGTGCTACTGAAGGCACAATCTATCAGAGACACTCAAATGTACGTTTAGATACCCCTTGATTTAGTTGTCCAATGGACTAGAACTTGAAATGCAAACGTGTGGTATACGCAAAAGCAGGATGCTAGACGTGGCAAACTGCTTCTAATAGTGATAGGAAATGTGGTAAGGCTAGGTACAACAGACCCCCTCCCCCTCGAGTTTATGACTTGCACACGAAGAGGATGAGGATTAAGAGGGAAAGGAGTAAATAGAGTATTTTTCTGTATAGTTAGGCGTCACGTGCACACCAGCCACAACCCAAGCCACAGTGACGTCGCGGGATTTCGGAACGGCTTCAATCGTATCGCCGCAAGGGGCGACTTCTCGTGCACCACAGGTGGGAAACGGCCTGTCACTCGGCTGTTGCTTTGATACTATCTTTTTTATCCGACCCCCGCTAATTGGCCGTTTTGCCCCGTTGGGATAATCTCCCAAGTTTCCTCTCTGTTCCTCCACAGACCAGAAGTTGATCAACTCCCCGCAACCACGACTTGTTTCATGTCTCGGACCGGAGGATTCACCCTCGTCCGACAGAGAAATCTACAAGGAGCTACAAAACGAAACCCTTTCACCTCAGGAAAGGTAGATAGGTGCTCAGATATATGCACTTGATAGCCGTCGAATGCACAACAACCGTTCCCCGCTCTCTACAACAGCCCCTCGATTCGGCAGAAGCAGGCCCGCCGATTGCCGCCCTCCAAAGAGATTCGTGGATAGACAATACAATTGAGGGTCGCGATTATCGCGCAAGAGAGAGACAGGCAGGATGCTTGATGGCGGATTGGGCAAGTTGCACAAGAGGATGAAGCGGTTTGGTGACACGGTAGGTCCTTGGTTGTTTGGCCTTTATCGTGTCGGATCCGTGACGGAAAGCTTATCTCTAGCAGTTGAACCCCGATGATGCGTATTTAAGCTGTGAGTACATGGTTGATTGACACATGTCTGAAAAGGATGATGTCTGACTATACTGGAGCACACAGACTATGACATTCGATGTATGTTGCAGTTCTCGTGGCACTCTGTTGATAGAAGACCTGACATTTAACAGTGACGAGAGAGGATATGCAATCGCTCAAGAATGACTGGCTCACAGATAATGTGGGTGTGATCGCACCCTCCGATGGATCCTAGCTAATTTATCACAGATCATATCCTTTTGGGAGGAGTAAGTCGATTGGGCCTGTTTCACTCTCGCCTAAACTGATTTCTTCAGATACCTGGAACGCGAGTTCCTCGTCAACTATAAATCATCCAATATTGTTCTTTTGCGGCCTAGCATGTCGTTCATGATCTTGCAGACACCCAATCCGCACACACTCCGAGAGGCTTTACCCGACTTCACGCGGACCACGCACGTCTTTCTTCCTATCAATGACTGTCGTAATGTTACTGAAGCCGAAGGCGGCACTCACTGGTCGTTGCTTCTCATATCCATTGTTGATGGAATAGCCTTCCATTACGATTCACTCCCCCCCGGGAATGTATGGGAAGCCCGGACGGTGACCATGAAGTTTGGCGCGTTGCTCAATCGACCCATTCGATTCATTCATCTACAGGATTCACCGGTACAAGAGAACGGTAGCGACTGTGGTGTGTTTGTGTGTCTGAGTATGCGGCATTTGCTGCTGAAACGGCTGTTGACTGCGAACGCCAGCGAGAAAGTCAGTATGAGCCTCGGCGGAATGAAAGTAGATGCTCGCGGAGGGAGAAAAGAGATAACCAAGATCATTGATGGCTTCCGAAAGGAAGGTGAACGACGCAGGTCGTATGTCGCTGAACAAGGGCGTTGACGTGATTATGCTAACCTCTGGTTGAACAGAGCTAGTCTCAGCCCTCTAGGGAAGAAGTCAGCAAGCCCTGGCCCTCCACGAATTGAATAATAAAAGTATATCTGGGTAGGCGAAGGCGTCAAGAGGATGCGGAGTTCAAGTATATGGATAATGCATACGTCAGGGAGGATATGGTAACGAAATAAGGCGGGGCCCTTATCACTTCACGTTTTTTCATTCTTAGCATTTTTTTTTTTACGCTCTCATGGTTTCCCCTCCCTTTTTCTTCAATTATCTTTATGTCTTCGCTTATCTCGTGGAATCCATCATAGTACCAACTGCAAGTAGCATTAACCGTCATATTTAAACCTAAACGAAGCCTATACTTAATGTCACATAATGTATTTTATATGGTGGGAAGCCATTCGGCCAGGATATGGGCAATTCAGAGATCTGACACTTAACATCTCAGTCGACTTCCTCTGTCAATTTGACGCGTTTGATGCGACTATTAACCGAATTATTACTAACGGTAATATTCAAGTAAGTCTTCAAAACCTACAACATGAATAGAAAGTACACATAAGCGCCGTCACTCCCCTACATCACGATCAGCCCCCCATCGGCCGTATTGCTCCATAATGCGCCATTTCCACGTTCGATGGCGAACAGCTCTACCCCAGTAATAAAACGGAACGGCGATGAGGATAATGACGCCAGCGATGCAGGCCATTTCCCCAAACGCCTTGCTGTATCCTTCCAAATTAATCCAGGGGTTGGTGTAGAAGGATAGGAGGAATCCGAAAGCCGCTAATATCATCTCATATCAATTCCAGTTCCAGGGGAAGGGGAAGAAGGGGCATTCTTATTTACTGTGCTGAGCAGGAATAGAGTAGATTGGACGTACCTTTGAATGCCAGTATGGAGACTGTTATCTCCCCCACGGACGGTCGATAGCTGTCGATAACATACACCATTGCGACATTGGTGGCTTGTACGATGGCGAAATTGAGTAGTCCTAGAGCTATAGTGGGCGCTATCCAGTGTAGGTTGTTGTTTACCCCGACACCGTAGAGTACTAGTGCTGCGGGGGCGCATACGCCTCCGATAGCAATGGATGGAAGACGCATCTCGGGTTGCCGGATGCCGTTGTTGCGTCGTGTGAGCCAATCTGCTACCCAGTCTGATGCCTGGCCGCCGAAGGCAATGCCGATTAAGGATCCAATTAAGCCTGCGATAAAGCATAGGCCGGATTGCCATGGGGCGAAGTTATAGGTTGTCGAGAAGGCAGTGGCAAAATTGGATGTTATGGCCACTAGAAACCCGATCGTTACGGCGAAGACTAGTGATGTCCATAGTACGGGCGGAAGAATGATCAGCACGATTGGTCTGAGGAAAATGCGGAACAGAGGCTCGGATGTGTGGATGCCGTTGAATAGATGGAGGGCACTGAGGTATGAAGGCTTCTTTCCAATCTGTAATGTCTCTGGCTCAGCATTTTCGCGATGTTCAGATGTTACAGCTGTCTTTGATGCTGTCCGCGCACCTACAGAGAGATTCGATGTGGCCTCCCGCTCCAGAGCACTGTTACGGTCAAATGTAGTTTCGGGAAACGTGAAAATAACGAGAAGAGTGACGCCGCCGATCAATGCAGTAGCCACATAGTAGATGTATCTCCAGTGAAGCGAGATTGTGATGACCCCGTCGATTATGATGCCGGCGGCCACGCCAACAGACAAAGCTGCCGTATAGAGTGACATAGCTGCACCTCTTTCATGGAGAAAGAAGATATCCGTGATTGTCATCGGCCCCAGGCATTCTCCTGCACCTGCAGCCAGACCCATAATGACTCGGCCTGCCAATTCCACCGAGTAGGTTTTCGCAAACCCACACCATAAGCCCGTCCCCACATAGAGAACAAAGGAGATAACATATATGGGCCGTCGGCCGAACTTGATGATCAAAGGCATCCAGAACAGCATGCCCACTCCCTGCATGAGGAAAGTGGTGCTATAGAAAAAGGAAATCCGCGAAATGTGGGCACTGGCATCTGAACCCATCGGACCAAGGAAATCGATGGTTGTCTGCTCGATTGCGACGGTTGGTCCAGCCGCAAGAAAGTTGCATAGGAGCACCGCCAGACAGACGAGGATAGCGATATAGTACCGGAAAGCCGCCGACCTAGCCATTGGACACGGGCTGTTAGTCATATGAGGTGGGGAAGCCAGCATAGCGATTAATGGGGCCAACTGGAGTAGCTTGCCAATTTAGTGGGTCATGGGGATCCCTCGATGGGGTCGGAATCAGGATAATCTCGTTGGTTTCATGATGTCGTAGACGCAAGTCACCCAGATGTTGCCCTCGAGGGGCAACTGAAGAGGGATCGACTTCCTTCGGAGACATCGTTTGCCCTATTTACTGCACAAATACATAATCATTTCCCCCCACAAAGATTCTCTCCGTGCCTGGGATGGGGTATGCATTTAAGCGGACGTGGACTTATAAGGGGGGAGAAAATAAACTAATGCCGCTAACTGAGCTTAATCACATTGACTTACTGCATAAACTCTGGGGAATGGAACGCGTCGGGCCCACCGGGTGTTGTTGTCCTCACTTCCCCACATACCCGGCATAGGGCATCAGCATAGAGTGCGGGGGTAAAACTGGGGTGTGGAATGGTCACCCCCCAGGCTGGGGGATTGAGAGAAAATAGGTTATATATGATTACTGTGTCCTGGATTTCCATGTCACCGACATAGAACTCGAATAAGATATCATGCAGATTACCTGGCGCAAGACAGCTGATCCTGACACCTATGAAGACGCCCGCGTGGGCCGTGTCTTCAACTACCGCCGCCCTCAACGCTACCCCTTGGCCGTGGTAAAGGCAACTAGCCAGAATGACATTGTGGCTGCGGTGAAGCTGGCCATCGAGAATAACTGTCGGGTGGCAATTCGTTCTGGCGGCCATTCGTGGGCTGCGTGGAGCGTCCGTGACAATTCCATCTTGATCGACCTGGGCAACTACAAGCACCTTGAAGTAGATGCAAAGAGGAAAATAGCATGGGCAACCCCAAGCATGACAGGAAAGGATATCAATGGGGTGTTGACCAAGGAGTACGGGTTGATGTTTCCCGGGGGTCATTGCCCTGATGTTGGAGTTGGTGGTTTCCTACTTCAGGGTGGAATGGGTTGGAATTGCCGAGTATGAATCACCTTCGACCATATCATTCTGGTTTACGACTAACCTTTGATATATGCAGAACTGGGGATGGGCCTGTGAACGTGTTCGTGCTCTAGATGTGGTGACAGCCAATGGGGACTTGGTGCACTGCAATTCGCAGCAGAACAGTGATCTCTATTGGGCTGCTCGTGGGGCCGGGCCAGGTATGTTTTGTTACTCATTTGATCTTCAGTCAAGAAGGTTAACGTAAAAGTTCAGGATTCCCTGGGGTAGTGACCCGGTTCCATCTCGACCTCGTACCGTACCCTAAAAATGGCTTCCGGTCATCGGGCTACCTCTACCCCATACGATATTACCACGAGGCCTTCCGTTGGGTCATATCAATTACCCCAGATTTTGATAATGACACCGAAATTGCCGCTGTGGCTAGCTACCCTGAAGGACAAGATGAGCTATGCCTATTCATTCTATTCGTCACCATGAAGTCCTCCGCGGAGGAAGCAGAAAGAGCACTTGCCCCAGCCCAGGAGACACGGCCAGCAGGGGCTATTGCTGAGTGGTTTTGCCAGGAAGACAGTCTTGAAAACCAATACATCAACCAAGCTAAAGCTAACCCGGAACGCCATCGCTATGGTGCCGATAATGCTTACATACACAACGACGCAGATGTTCCTGCTGTTCTAGAGGAGGCGTTTACTACACTTCCGCATAAAAAGTCGTTCGCTCTTTGGTTTGGAATGAATCCCTGCAGCCGTCGGAAGCTCCCAGATATGGCGTTGAGCATGCAGTCAGACCATTATTTCGCGCTGTATACCGTGTGGGAGGATGAAAAGGATGACCTCCGATGCCAGACATGGGTCCACAACATCATGCGGAAGGTCGAACGACATTCAGTTGGGGCGTATCTGGGAGATGCGGATTTTCAAGTGAGGAAAACTCGCTACTGGGATGATGACAACGCCCGGCGTCTGATGGAGATTCGTCGTAAATGGGATCCTACGGGGAGGATATGTGGATATCTGGACAAGGGGGATATCTCAGGAACTCAGGGGTTGAAGAATGCACACGAATGGAAATTGTAGATTTAAACTTCATATTTTAGTTAATTGATATATAAGTCTTTCTTTATTTTACTCCAGGTTTTATTGCCTATACTAGCCCTAACTCAACAAAGTTTCACAATGGAAGTACTGTAGCTGACAGGCGAGCGTTCTACCTTACACATTTCGGCTTCACTTAGCATCCCCACCCAATTTAGCCACTAGACATGCGAAATGAATTCACATACAAAGTCAAATATCTAAGGGAGAAGTGGATGGCTCTAGAGTCTAGGGCACCCCGGGATGTGGGGGAATAAGCTTTCCCCGCATTTACTCCCCAGTCTAAGTACTTCCTCCATCGCCTAGGGTACGTACTTGGACGCGCGTCTTCACACGGATGTTCGGGCCCTCACCGGGCCACTTCCTAAGATGGACTTTATTTATCGCCTTAAGATTAAGGATACCAAAGCAAGATGATCAAGTATGGTGTCATCAGCCTCCAGTCGTACCGGTTTAATCGTGAACCATCTAGCACCTCATTCCCATCACACAATGGACGGAACAAGCCTCACTGGCAAAGTGGCAATTGTCAGTGGTTCCTCATCAGGAATCGGCGCTGCAATCATACGAGAGCTCTCATCCCGTGGCGCCAATACAGTGGTGAACTACCCATTCGCTCACTTGAAGGAGGAAGCAGACAACTTGGTGGGCTCTCTGCCCTCGCCATCTATTGCCGTTGACGCGAATATGTCATTAGTTACATCTCCACAGAAGCTAGTAGACGCTGCAGTTTCAAAATGGGGTCAAATTGATATTGTGGTCAATTGTGTCGCGCTTGCCGTGAACAAGCCATTTGAATCACAGACTCTAGAAGACTGGGACCTGTTAGTCAATACAAATGGACGGAGTACGTTCCTCTTGACTCAAGTTTGCCTCATTTGACGAAAGGGCGTGGGAGGATTGTGAATATCGTCAGCATTTCCGGTCGTGGACCTCCACCAAACCAGACCATCTATGCGGGAACAAAAGGGATGGTGGACTCTTTCACAAAATGCTGGTATGTGCAGCTACGGCCCTTGCCCTTTCCTCCATATTCGTGGTATAGACTAAATGAGCGGGTCTAGGGCTAAAGAGCTGCCACCCAAATATGGTTGCACAGTTAATGCTGTCAGTCCTGGTCCTACGAAGACTGAAGGCTTTGCGGCTGCCGGTGAAGACCAAATGAAGATTCTGCAGCCGATTATCGACCAAACACCGGTTGGACCGAGAATGGCAGAGCCAGAGGAGGTCGCTTTTGCGGTCGCATTTCTGTGTGAGGAGCGTGCAAGATGGATCAATGGAGCACATATTGTTGCATCTGGTGGGCTTTCCATTGACTAAAGATGCATATATTCTGTTTTCCTGCCTGGAAAATCATCAGTAGATCGCTAGGTTCTTGGATTAGAAGAATGCTGTCATAGATGTACATGCTGACAACCGTTCCTCTACTTAGAAACTATGCTGATATCATCAAGGCCGAAGTAAGACTGGTCATCTATCAAATGTTCCATATCTTATCATTAGTCTAATCATCTATGCCTGCCCCGTCCGCTCTCTGGAACTGGCTCGGGTGTAGACTAAGCTCGACTTACAATATGATGAGATTCTGTCAAGGGTCCCTCCTGTTAGAATATGAAGGTTACCTTGCCTAGTCGAGTGTGCTAGCTAGGAGTTCTTCGACTAAGATCATGGATCCCTACTGGATAGGAGCTCCGTTCAGTGTTTGTTATTTCTAAAGAGTAAACAGTGAGGATTGTCTGGTAAATAATAACTCGACAAAAGAAGGGGAGGTTGATGGGGTTATTTTGGATCTCTACCTGCAAGTTGCGTTATGATGAAATGAGGTTGGGGGTTAGTCCATGCAGAGATAAATAACTGAATTCATTTAATCAATGATAACGTGACTACAGACTCGATATGCTAAAATTCAACCTAATGCCCGTAACTCTAGGACATACCACTCGAGTGTTGAAAAACTCAATCAAGCAACATATTAAAACAAGATAGCATCACTTACTCGATTGGCCTCGCCCCAGAAACATCCGGAACACCTTCACCTTCAACAACCTTCGCCCCTATAACCTCGTAAACAGGCACTTCCGCCAGCCGAGAAATGACATGATGCAATGTGGGCAGCTGTTCCCAGTCCAGCCCATCAATCTGAAAACTTGCCTTCTTGGTCGTGTACACTCTCTTCGGCATAGGTTTCGGCGTTGCTTCTGAGAACGGATCCCACACGGCATGCTCCTCCGCCGCCACATTCTTATTCGCGCGGCCACTCTTCGGGATGTATTTATATGCCAGCATACCAGCGTCAGCTTCTCCGCTGATCCCACCAGATGCAGACGACGGGTCAACCTCGACCAGGTCCTCAAGAAGGAAGTTGCCCCAGAGCGCACCTTGCCAGCCAGTTCGGATACGATAGGACGTCGCTCGGCGATAGACGTCGATAGATGTGTACAGTTTGGGCATACCTAACTCTTCCCGACCAGAGACGATTGGGTCCGTCAGCGATTCGAACAGGATGGGAAGGTACGAGCCCTTCACGGTAGAGCCGTCTTTCTTGACGTATTCGACGCCGTGGACATAAAGACCAATGTGACTATATCCTGAGCCTCCCAGCCATTCCATCTTGTTCAGCGTCGTCTTCGCAAAGGAGGCATAGGCGACGGTGCCGGGCGAAGTAAAGCGCCAGCCACGCCGGCCAGGTGGAAATAGATTCTGGAGAACTGTTCGGGACGTCTTAAATTTGATTGATGCAGTGGTGAAGGTGGATTTCATTCCATCTCTGGGAACTCCGAGGTGTGTTTGGCGAGGACCTGGCATGGGCCCAAATGCAATGGGCATCCGCCAGTAGGGGTTAGGAATGCGCTTCCAGGTCCATTCACGGAGCTTTTGCGTGGAGTTGTCCCATTCGTCGTGGCCACAATTGAAGTTGACGAATCCGTACACTATTAATATATGTTAGTCAGTAGTGCGCTTTTGACTGAGCAGAATGGCGCCCTGATACTCACTATCAAGATCCTTGCCATCGGTCCGATCTTCGCCAAGTATCCGAGAATATTCTTGAACCTGGGTTGCGCGCTCGTACCGGATTTCATGGTAGAGCTGCAGTCTCTCAGGAATCTCTTCCACAGGGGTTCCTGGTGGAAGAACAACGGCAAGCGAAGCTGCATCCTCGATTGCAATTCCTGCTCCTTGTCCCTGATGCGGCAGGAAAGGATGCGCTGCATCACCAAGAAGAACCAAACACCCGGAGTGCCACCGTGGAATTGACTCCATGTCTAGGAGTTTCCATACTTTCACACTTTCAGGGTCGGCCTTTGCCAAGAGCTTGAGAATTGTAGGATCAAATGATGAGAAAATTTGAAGCATTCTGTCGAGGTTTCCACTTTGATCCCACCCGTCGGCTGCCTGATCGGCCGACTCGGCCTCGGGGTGAATTACCACGAAGTTCAGGACGGAATTGTGGGAGGTTGGATACATAACAACGCGGCGATCTGTTCCATACCACATACACAGCTCCCCGGGGTGTTTGACCAAAGGCGCAGTGACAGGGTCATCAAGGGCAGCCTGTTTCGACACTAGGAACCGGAACGCACTCTTGCCGCTACAAAATGGTTTGATATCGCCCCCTGGGACCGCGCTTCTTGTCATCGAATGGACCCCATCGGCACCGAGAATAACATCGCCTTCAAAATGCGCACCATTTTCCAAGCTGATGTGCGCGGCTGCAACATCCACGCTTACCACTCGACTTGATGTCCGTAAGGGAATGGCTGGTCTCCCATCGTCGGCATTGGTTACCACGCTCTTCAGCTTGTTGTATAGGTCAATACGATGGGCAAGTAACCATTTCTGCAAACTCAGGTTAGTCAGGAACTGCAGGTAGATTGTGTTTATGGGGATACGAACATGCTGCCATATTTTGTGATTCTCTGAGAGCTCCATAGATCTCTCTACTTTGCCATTTGCATTGTATTCCGTCAACTAGATCAACTCGTTAGGATCAGAGTCCAGGAAAAGTTATGCAGAGTCGAAATGATTACACACCCTCTCGAAAGCATTGGCACCGAATTCCTCCGCACATATTCCGAGACGTCGGAGGATTCCATTCGCGTTCGGAGCAAGATGAAGCGCAGCTCCAGTCTCAGTTGCCAGCCGCGATTGTTCGAATACCTAAAACGCATGTTAGCCTGCGCCAAGCCATACTTCGAGAGTGGCGAGATTATCACACGCACTTGCACATCGTGGCCTTGCTTACGGAGCGCAATAGCGGCCGTTAATCCGCCAATACCAGCTCCAACGACCAACACCTTGAGGGGGCGATTCGCGCTCCTCGAATTAGGAGTAACGGATGTTCCATTGAGCTGGGTCATATTGTCGACACAGAATATACGGGTATAGAATTGGTGCCTGAACAATTCATGAGAAGTAGTTGCATGTCTTAGGAGATTTATTATATGCTAGGGGCTTCCTAATATCGTCGTTGAATTGAACACCAAGGATTGGGGTCGATCTCGGGCCCACCTACCCGGGGTGGGGAACATATACCTACTACATTCTATGCATGTCCGACGCTGCATTTATGTGCCTCGGGGTAATGAGCGTGCCGCGCTTTATGACATACGTATCACCATTGGCAAGTGAAATCCTGGGTGTCTGACCGATAATGTGGTGCATTTAGCTACATCGTGCAGATGTCATCCAACCATAGCTGAACAGGAAAGAGGTTTTGTAATTCTACTCTGAGCAAGGATTTGTGCTGAGACTTCTGAAATTCGAATATATTGGTCGATTTAATAAGATAAAATAGCCAGTAGCTCTACAGCAGAATCCCTTGTACAAGTCGCTGTCACAAAGTCCTATCTATGCCTTGGGATTCTCATCATGATACAGCTTAATCCAATCATACTGTTCATCCAGATACTTCTGTGCACGTAAATCTCCAGACTGAGCATGGCCTTCAAAATTCTCAGCTCTAGCTGCTCGTCCACAGAGCCTTCCCAATTCACCACTAGCCTTGCTACTCCCCACCTCCTGATAAGTCACAGTCCTGAGATACTTTCCCACCCAGAGACCACCGGTATATCTGGCTGCTTTCTTGGTCGGGAGGACGTGGTTGGTTCCAATCACCTAAGTAAAAGATATCAGCCCTCAGGCTCTGAAGGTAGTAGGGGAAGATGAAAGCACAATAATACCTTATCTCCGTAAGAAACACACGTCTTCTCACCCAAGAAGAGCGCTCCGTATGCTGTCATATTGTCCAATGCATCCCGAGGCCGTTGTGTAAAGATTTGCACATGCTCGCTAGCATGTTCATCCGCTAACTTCCATGCTTCCTCAATTGTATCAACAACAATCACCTCGCCGAATCGCTGCCACGAAACACTTGCCACGTCTGCAGTTGAAAGGTGCTTGAGCAATTCATTGATGATCTCGATGGCTTTCCGGCCTACTCTTTCCGACGTAGTGATTATCACTGTGGGAGAGTCAGGCCCATGTTCAGCCTGGGAGAGGATGTCGGTAGCAACAGTGAAGGGATCCGCCGTATCGTCTGTTACAATCAAGATTTCAGTCGGTCCAGCGAAGAGGTCAATTCCAACCTCGCCAAATAGTTGCCTCTTTCCCTCGGCAACGAAAGCATTTCCCGGTCCCGCGATGAAGTCCACCTTCTTCATGGTCTCGGTACCAACGGCCATTGCAGCAATCGCCTGAACACCACCAAGGAGATATATCTCGTCAACACCGGCGAGGTGCATGGCTGCAATTGTGCCATGAGGGATCTTGCCAGCGATGGGTGGAGTGCAACCCACGACGTGCGGTACACCGGCAACTTTAGCGGTCAAGATGGTCATATGTGCGGATGCAAGCAGAGGGTAGCGCCCACCAGGGATATATCTGTTCATTAATCCAAAATTAGCTCTTATACTAGATCTCTTTTATGCACACTCTTCACTTACGCGCCGACAGAGTTAATAGGAAGATCCTTTTGGCCTAGAACAACACCCTGAAGAAACGTTAGTATGACTGAGTCAGTGGGGAATTGCTTTGGCCTTACAGGCTGAATCTCATACTCTAAGTCCTTCAGGGACTCGCGTTGCGCTCGTGCAAATGCACGCACATTCTTTTGGGCCTCTTTGATGTCATCAATAGTCTGCTTGGGACAGGCCGCGATTGCGGCATCAATATCCTCCTGGGACAGCTTGAACGAAGCCGGTGACCACTTGTCAAACTTCTCAGAGTACTTGCGTACGGCTGCATCGCCGTTCTGTCGGACATCGTCTATCACGCCCTTGACGACTGAGCTCACATCGACTTGAGGAGTCGTGGAGATGGCCAAGGTGTTTGACCTTGATTTCAGATGGCGGGCAGGCATATTGGTGGTGTTGGTGGGGGTGGTAATAGCACAAGGGAAAAAGTAAAATGGTTTTAGGTCTGTATATAGCTTACTATGCTCTTTCTGAGTATAGAATGGATGTTATTTGTTTCTTATGGGCGAGGCATGATGTTCGTCTTGCACTGTATCGTATATTCCTCCACCGGCTCCACCTCCGGATAGGCGGATGGGCATGTCGACAGGGCGAAGAGACCGGGTAGAAGTCCGAAATAGCCCGGAATTCGAAGCGTTTGTCACTTGCGCCAATTTTGCTTGAGGCCTTGTAGCTGAATGGGAGGTTTTTACTAAAATCTATTACATCTAATTTGTCGATTTCAGGGCAAACCGTGCCATAAAAATATGCAACCGCAACATACTAAACGAAACGGCGTTTAATGTGAAGAGTAAACGGATCATTTATAGAGAAGGTCTAACATTGTATTGGGTTAATTGAGCTGATCTAGCTTATTGTACTTGATCCGAGTACTCCATTCCCCGTCCTCGCCTCCTTCACTTCGAGGGCTTCACATCATCCATTCCACCCCCATAGTCCTCCTCTAGTGTAGCCCCATTAACCTGCAAAGGCTGCGCCTCCTGAAGAACATATAACATCCGAGCCCAGTTGGTCTCGCTCGTATTCCTCCACGCGTGGTTTGTCCCACGCTGAACCGCAATGTCGCCTCGCTTAAGCAATCTCGTCGCTCCCGAGTCCAAGACTAGCTCAACCTCTCCCTCGAGCACCACTCCGTAGTCCAAACTCACAGTCCGATGCATAGGCGAGATGGCCCCAGGGTTCATGTCCACGACACGCAAGACCGTGCCTCCAGGAATCGTAACCCCCGGGAGATCTTTCAGCAACGACCCATAAACATCGAGATCCTTCTCGCCGCTCAAATTAACGGGGACCTCGTTCGTCCCGTAGGCGAGTGAGAAGCGGGCGCCGTTGGCTAGCTGCTGCCATTCGAGGAGTTCAGGGATCCTATCCTGGAATCTGGTTGTCCCTTGGGCGTCGTGATCCGTAATCACGCGGTTGATGGGGCGGAGGCCGTTGTCTTGCATTTTTGGTATAGGTTGATCTATGCTTCAGGTGAATGGAGGAGTGTAATGCAGAGTGGAATTGGCCAAGTATGAATTAGGTGTTATACTCGACAAAGAGTCATGGTTAATTCACTCTTAAATCCCCTGGTCACTTTGGGATGAGGATTCTCCAGGTGGAGCCGATAGTCTAGCCCGCAGGTGGAGGAGGTTCATCCGATCGTTTGAATGCTACACCTATATCTTATAGAATCATCAACGCAACCCAGACCCGTAAAGATATGTGCAGTGTATTGAGAACAATGTCACCGAAAGTCGCACTGATAACTGGGGCATCGCGAGGCGTTGGGGCCGCCGTCGCTCATGCGCTCGCCGCCGACGGCGATACCAGTATTATGCTAAACTATGGATCCAACCCAGAGCCCGCAGAAAGGCTTATTCAAGAACTAAACGCCTTGAGAGATAATGATACTCTGTCGGCAGAATCCCCTCCATTTCAGGCTCTAAAAGCAGACATGGCAGATAGAGCTGATATTTGTCGGTTGGTGAACCAAACGGTTCAGGAGATGGGCCGTTTGGATATCGTGGTCTCGAATGTTGGCTGGACACGAATGACAGATTTTGCGAATCTTGACGAAGCCGACGATGAGGCTGACTGGGATCGGTGCTTTAACATGAATGTTAAGAGCCATTTTTTCCTATTCCAGGAATGCAGGAAGTATCTAGAGAAGACCCAGGGGGCGTTTATTGCTACAGCGAGTGTTGCTGGCGTCAAGCCAAGCGGTAGCTCCTTGGTGAGTATTGCGGGCGGTGGATGATACAAGTACATACGAGAATTATTGGCTGATATTGGCGACATAGCCGTATGCTGTAACGAAAGCTGCTCTTATCCATCTCGCCAAAAGCCTGGCAGCCATTGCAGCGCCAAACATTCGAGTAAATACAGTCTCACCCGGTGTCTTGCTCACGGTATGTCAGTGATCTTTTGGTTTTATTGACGTTTGTTCATAATGTTGGTAGGACTGGGGGCTACAGTTCCCAGAAGAAAAACTGAATGCCGTGCGGGAGAAGAATGTCTTGAAGCGATTCGCTACCCCAGAGGTAAGATGGTAGAGCGCACTGCATGACATTGAAGCACGGTTTACTAACTTGAAATGCCCTAAAAGGATGTTGCAGAGCAAGTTAAGTTCCTTGCGAACTCCAAATCCATTACTGGGATGAATGTCGTCATCGATGCTGGGTTCTTACTGTAGATATATATAGGCACATGGGTATAGGCCTTGTTGCTAGAAGGCATAAGCATATCTTCTCTTATCAATATTTAGTATTTCATCTATACGCTCATATATAAACCATCTGAATGTTCTTGCACGGCATGGTACTTGCTCACGTCCCGTAGTTTCTCAATCAGATGGACCAAGTTCTCTACCAAAGGCGGTTCCCGCTCACCGTAATGGTTTCTATGCATTATTTGAAGAACTAGCTCCAAAATGGCGCCAGGGTCGGCTAGAGAAGCAGAGGCTATATGCGGCTGAACTCCATGCAAAGCAGGGATGCCACGCTCTAAAGCGATATAGCGATGCACACCATCGGTATCATCGCCATCAAGCCATATTATGTTCTCCATATTCAAACCATTGGAATCCGGCCGGGACATAGCATTATCTTCAGCTGCATGGGCAATTGCCATGCCGTAGGCCCAGAGAGTTAAGCTAGCATGGTATAGGGCAACGGCCATAAAGTCCCGGAGACGTTGCGAAGGAAGAGATTTGAGCTCTCGGATCACCTGCCCGGCATGCCAGAGCGCCTGTCGGCACTCTTTGCTCTTCGACCAGGAATGGATCGACGGCGGAAACTCCGAGGTCTTTTTGGGATCCTCCAGCGTGGCAAGAATCTGCACATCCTCTAGCGACATGTGCATGTGCATCAGAATAAGATTCAAATGAAGTGTGCTTTCATTTTTGTATCCCATATGGAAATACTTCAGCATCTTAACAAGCTCCTGGTAGCGAGATACCATCAGGATCCCATTATCCCAGTAGCGGGAATGCGCCGCCAACAAAATACTGAACTGTCGATATTCCCAAACCATTCCCCACATGGCACAAAGTATAGATAAACATGAAAGGGTTGTATCTACCACGGCTTTGCTGCATTCGAGGAGATCAAGATTTGCAATGCACTCCAGAAGGGTTGGGATCCGTGTCGAGCCCATAGTGAAGCGTCCACTGTACAACTCTTTCCACTTTTGAGCCGAGCTCGCACTCCAAAGATCGCGAGAACATGGGATGGAAAGTGAGATTTCACCATAGGATAGCAGGGGGTTTGTGAAAAGAACCATAGACAATTGGGCATCGTGCTGCAGCAAGTTATAAACGAGTCGCTTGAAAGATTCTTGCTGTACCCAGGAATGCCATTTACTATCGAGGTCATCACTTATATCCTCTGAATCAATGAGGACAGGTGGATATGCTGAATGATGGAATAATCCCCGGCGCCGAAGAATTGTAACCAAGGGTAGGCGAGAGCTCTCACAAATTTCCATTTTGCGATTATTGCCGCTCCAGAGGCCGGTTTCTAAGCAAAGCATATATGCCTGCAACAATTCCAGGTTATTGATCATAGTATTATCGCTCTCAAACACCACAGGAAGCTGGTGACGGACGACCTCCTGCATTGCAAATCCCAATTTCTGCAGTGAGGGATCTGGTGTTAATACAGCTCCCATAGCTGCCATTGCAAGCAAGAGTTCAGGCCGGGTTTGTTTTGGAGTAAATGTGGCAAGATGAATCCACGATTTGGCATTTGACGTCGGACTTGTCAGAAAATACCGGATCAGGAGATCTAGTAGTTCAACGGAGGGAAATGACAGAGTGGCTTGAGAGATGGGATGTTTCATCTGACTCAGGAAGATACTCAGAATCTTATCACGAGAGGCAAGGTCCAGGCTCTCTGCATTTGAATAACTGTCCATACGGATGAGGTTCCTTGGTGTCGAGTTCTGATCCGCATGAGTGGGCAGTAATAGATTACTGTGTTCAGCATATCCGTGATCCTGTGGCTCAGGGACAAAGTGCCATCGCAATCGCTGCATAGAACGATCATTGGGTCTGCTATAGCTTGTACCTGGCGCACAGTCCCCCAGCGGGGAACCGGAAAATGATGGAGGGGTCTCATGCTCATCAAACTGAAAGGGGATTCGGGAATTGTAGGTTTCTAAGAAGCTGAGATCAACCATGCTCAGATCGAGGTCTGTTTCTAACCCGAAGGTAATCAGTCTCCTTGGCGTTCTAACGCCATTCAAATTATCCAAGGAGAGACCGGCTGCAAGCATTTCAACTGAGTCAGGCGTTATAAGGTCCGGATAGTCTTTTGTTAGTGACGCCGAGACATCGACTCCCGGATCGATTGTAGTATGGTGAGACGGGACCTGGGGCCAAATATTGCCTGCTGGAACTTCTGCTGGAGGACTGGCAGACTTTTGATACGACCGGTCGTTGGTGATGTCAGGCTTGGGAGCAGGGTTATATAAAGAGCTTGTGTCACCACCGCTTGTATGACGCGCCTCAGGGATAGTGGGTGAAGCGCTAAGCTCATCTACTTGCTTCGGGGGCACCTTACACAGAATGTTTCTTCGCTGGCATCGTTTACACGGTTTCTCCTCGTCACATCGGAGGTGGTCCTCTGCACAGGCAGTACATGCCTGAGATGCCCGGGCAAGAATGGTATTGTTACAACCATTCCGACGGCGCTTCTTTGACACAGGCTCATCACCATCGGTATTGTGGAGAGTGGAATGCCTGTTGAGAAGATCTCTAAAACAAACTTAGCGCTCCATTGCCTGACCTTTCAGTCACCTGGACAAGTAAAGCTCACATTCTCCCGAACCTCTTGCTGCAGACTGAGCATTTGTAAGGCTTCTCTTGTGTGTCTAAAGCTCGAGCGTTAAATCTTCGACTATGCAGCAGCCGAGAGTAACGAAGGGTAACTTACGGGACCGAACATGGCGGGACAGATGATCAACTCGGCTGAATGACTGAGAACATGTTCCGCACTGATACAAGTTACGATTCAAAGGCCGGGTACATGGGGCGGATCTTGGGGAGGTATACGGGGAGGTCATGGTCAGGCAATAGACAACGCTGCATACAGCCCGAACGTGGAGCGCAATTGGCACCTAGTTAAGGGACGCCAGCTTGCCAGCTCCTGGGGACCCCGCAATTCCCAGGACCTCGGGTAAGAAGCCCCAGCTATTCGCTACACATCAGTTTGACTCAATGCAACTTCTATTGGCGGCCGGAATTGCGTAATGGCGCTCGGGAAGGTGGAGAGCAAGTGAGCCGAGATCTATATGGCAGACGTCCACTTCGGGCTACACCTGGTAAAGTAAAAGAACCATATCTCCACATGCACATGCTACAACATCCCCAGAGGCATCGTAGACGGAGAACTCATCTATGATGAGCTGGGTAATGGTGTCTCCAAAGGTCGCAACAACGTTGACGCGCCAGTACGCTTACCGCTGAGGCCGTTAGCACAGGCTTGGTTATCGCGTCGTTGGTTGCTGGGGCTTGATTGGCTTGAATTGCCTTCTGCAATTGCAGTTGGTTGAGATAATTCTTATGATGATAATGATTGGCTCATTAGACATGCTGTTATGCCTGTAGTAGCCATAGAGTATAGTATGTGCAGTTGATTTACTCCTTTGGAGCCTGTCCTGCCGCCGAAAGCGGCGCTGATCTAAGCTTATTCCGAGATATGAAGGTCCTCAGGCAACTCGGCCATTGATGCCTATCAATGCCATAACTTATCCCAATAAGGTTAGATCGCGTTGTCCGAGCGCGTCGCGTCTGCCAAGTCCCTTCAACTTATACTGAGTACTAAGGGAGTATATGCTACACAACCAATCAATCTCAATCAATAATATAGCTTACCACCATGTAAGGTTGATTATCCGGTGTATCTTCATTCATGGGTAAAAAAAGAAAGAGGCCTATCAAGAATGGCCAAGCACGGGAGGACCTACCGCAATTATCCTTCCAGACCAGCACGCGAGGGAAGGTCACCAATGTCCCCAGTGAAGGTTCATTGGAACAAACCCACCCAGTGATCTCCATATACTACCAACGGGTTGTGACACTGAGACAATATCTCCTTGAGCGAATACCTAAATCCTCCAAATCCCGCCGCAGAAGGATCGCGTCTGTGCCTAGTCATGACCCGAGTAGTGGTGGCCATTCAGCAGACCAGGATAAAGAGCTGTCACAATTGCTGGATACCACCTTAGTAGGCATACTGAAAGAAACAACTGCTGGTTGCGATCAGGCGCGACGGCAGGGATTAGCCGAATTCACGGCATCCCCGGATAGATCGTTACTCACCAGTACCGACACTGGACCCCCTTGTCCTCAAGCAGAGGTAAGATTCGATATGTGATTTACAAGTTCTTAAACAACGCCGACAAAATCTTCATCCGAGCTTTTCTTCCTGGCAGTGTGGTGATGCGCAAAATACCTTTAACTAGAAATGCAATTGGCAGTTGTGAATGCTGCGGAGGCTTTGGCTGACTCTGTCTACAGATTGTGGATTATGTCATATCGACGCTGTTCAATCGCAGTGGGTTTTCGTATCAGAGAACGAAACACATTTTAACCCATGGATTTCAACGCGCGAATGGGATACAAGCTAGAACTCGGAATGATACTCTTGCTTGCAGTCTTCGTGGCATAGTGGCACGATTCCCGAACAAGAATGTCCAGTCCCTTAAGCGCGCTCCTTGGACCGACATACTTGGACTTCTGGGGAGCAATGGGGAGGACATCATGACAAGTCTCTTATTTGACTGTGGGGTATTTACTGCCATAGATTGTCGGAAAGGCATCTACTATCAATTAAGCGGTCAGCCATGCCATCCACGGCCTAGCGGATGATTACTTATGTTCGAATACAGGTATTCCACTGTCAGATCTTGAACCAGTGAAGATGCTAGTTGGAACGCAATCTCTTAATTCTAGGGTTGCACAAACTACTACAAGCAGTCCTTCACGGTCAGTAGGAGTTGCTGGAAATCCTAGCCCCAAAAGCAGAGCAGGGGGCGGTAGGAGTGATATCTCCAAACCAAATAGCGTAATGCTCTTCAGACGACGTATGCTTTATGCGCGCCCTGCATTCGACGCGAAAGGGCAAGTTCAATCTGGATTGTCAACCCGGCGTGAGTGTTTTGGAAGCCCCTGATGTGGATAAGCTTCCCATTGACAGTTAGGGCAGACGTCCTGAATCGCTTTTCTTCTTCAGGTTCATTGTCGCAGACTGTGCATGTTATGAAATACATATTCCCCAGGCAATTCGGTCTGCACAATGTGTTCACATGTCGACCTGATACCCGTACGTCTACTCTTCCTGTCAATGATTACTTCTCTCGCGAAGAAGAGATCGCCCAGTCTGAAAAGCGGAGGTAACGAGCCCCAGTGTTGTGGAAACAAGTTTTCCATGGCTAATAGTGGATACAGTGGAGCAACAACACTACCCAAAAGGCTTCGAGGAAGGGCTTTAGAATTGGTTCAACAGTTGCAAAATCGCCATGGGAGATGCTCTTATGGAGAGTTGTTACGCTATTATTGTCCACCACAGGTTTGTCGCACCACCTTTCTTCGTAAAAATTAACACTAAGGTCTTAGCGCTCTGGTCCCTGGAAACTTGGTCCTATCGATGATCCCCAATCTGTGGCTCCAAGCGCAGAACTGGTATCATCAACATCAGAACCATTAATAACACAATGGCGAGGCCACCATGGGCATGTAGCAGCTGATCATATAGCCAAACAAATGCCAATGGCTCCATTTCAACAGGAAGCGCAAGGTCAAGCCATGAAAACGAAGGTCATGAAACCGAAAATCAGTTTGACAGACTATGCAACACCAGCTTCTTCAGTATCCGCTTTCTGTCGAGCAGTTCTGCGAAACCTAATACCGCCTCAATTTTTTGGCGTAGGTCAAGATAAGATCAGCAATCAGAATGTCATCTTCAAACATGTCGATCGATTCGTACGCATGCGACGGTTTGAAAGCATAAGCATTCATGAAATCTGCAATGGGATCAAGGTTTGACTACATTGTGTTCATCCTACCAGAGGTAATTTGCTAATGCGAGTGCCTTGTAGATAACATGCATACCCTGGCTGGAACCCCCGGCGGTCCGCGACCAGAATTCTCCAAAGAAAAAGGTTTCATTGTCTGACCTACAAAAACGCACCGAAATATTACACGAAATTATCTACTACATATTCGATTCAGTTTTGATACCTCTTGTACGGGCCAACTTTTACGTCACTGAATCTCAAACCCACCGTAATCGTTTATTCTACTTCCAGCACGATGTCTGGCGTCAATTGACTGAACAGCCCTTGGCTGGCCTCAAGCTTTCTATATTCGAGGAACTGAAGTCAGACAAAGCAGAGCGTATGCTCGGTCGTAGGTCTCTGCCATACGGGACCTTGCGGCTCCTTCCAAAGACAACGGGCATTCGCCCAATTCTAAATCTACGACGAAGAATGTTGGTAAACAGCAAATGGGCTGGAAGCAAAGGTCGCTACTTGGGGCAAAGTATCAACTCAGCCATCACCCCTATCTATGGCATTTTGAACTACGAGAAGATGCGGAAACAAGACGACCTAGGCTCATGTTTATTTTCTGTGGGAGACATTCATTTGCGGCTCAAAGCTTTTAAAGAACGGTTACTGCTACATTACCACGAAGTTAGCTCGCTACCAGTCTTTTATTTTGTCAAATTAGACATCCAGTCTTGCTTCGATACAATCCCTCAGGATAAGCTGGTCCGTCTCATTGAGGCCCTAGTATCCGAAAAAGCGTATCACTTCACGAGGCATGTCGAAATGCGCCCGCCAGATGAATTTGGCAGCATGTGGCCGGTGCACGAAACAAGGCAGAGCAAAGCTTTCCGCAAGTTCGTGGCCAGGGCAGCGCCCGCTGCGAGACCGCAGCATCTGACGGAAACAATTAATAATGGTGGAACTAGCCACAGAAGGAACACGGTTTTTGTGGATACGTCGGGACAGAAGGAGTACGATACTGAGGAACTGCTGGATTTGCTCGACGAGCACGTCCGTAATAATCTGGTGAAACTTGGCAGGAAGTTCTTCCGGCAGCGTAATGGTATTCCCCAGGGCTCGGTGCTATCTAGTATTCTCTGCAACTTATTTTATGCAGAAATGGAGCGGCAAGTTTTAGCCTTTTTACAGTCGGACGAAACGCTGCTCCTGCGACTTGTTGACGACTTTTTACTGATCACCTCGAATCCCAGCCTTGCCAAACGTTTCTTGGGAGTGATGATTAAAGGACAGCCTGCATACGGTGTCTCTGTCAACCCAACCAAGAGCCTTGTCAATTTCAACGCTGCTGTGGAAGGGACCCATATCCCTCGGCTAGTTGACACTTCACTCTTCCCCTACTGTGGGAGCTTAATTGATACTCGCACCCTAGAGATTCACAAAGATCATGATCGCATACTCGAAGGAGGCGACTCCGCTGCCGAGACCCTCTCTAATTCCCTGACCGTCGATTCTGCACGAGTCCCGGGTCGTACGCTGCACCGGAAGTTGCTGGCATCCTTCAAGCTACTCATGCATCCTATGTACCTGGACACAAACCACAATTCACTTACGGTAGTCCTTTCAACTCTATATGCGAACTACCTAACCACCGCTATGAAGATGTATCAGTATATGAGATCGCTCCGAGGTCGGGCGCACCCTTCATCCGAGGTGATCATCCGGATCGTCCGAGATACAACACAGCTCGCACATCGGCTCGTTCAGGGCAAGAGGTGCTGGGGTCAGCGAGTTGCAACCGTAGAATCGTCCTCGCCATCTGTATGCACTGTGCAGTATTCCCAAGTTCAGTACCTCGCAGCAGCGGCGTTCCGGTTTGTCTTGAGCCGCAAACAAACACGATACACTCTTGTGTTGCGCTGGTTAGAACTAGTCTTGAAAGGCAGTCGGCCAAGATCCGATGCGAAGGCTATGCGACTAGCACAAGTAGTACAGAAGGGAAACTTGATGTATGGTAGCTGGAGGTTTTGACTGGGATGCACAGCCTTACCCTTGAGCGTTGAGCCAGCCTTTAATTGCAAAATTTTTACAATTTGATCTCCACCCTCTCAGTTAGTGCGCGCATCCATCGCCTAGTGTTGTTGACTGATGCGTGGTTTGTAGCGTTAACGATGTGACCAATAAATAACCTATGGGTACCGTCCACTAGATCGTAGTTTCTTCAATAACTTGATAGTATTGTTATTATTTATCTTTTTTTTCCCTAGCGGGTCTCAATCATGTGTGGTAGGAACTAGTATATAGAAGAAGCGAGAGAAAAAAAGGGCTTCGTATTGTGCAAAAAAAAAAAAAAAAAAAAAGCTTCAGCTTAAGAGTGGAGTGTGGCAAACGTTTTGTCTCAGATCTCCGATCGTGGTCGCGGGAACCACTGAGATTAGGACAAAATTATGTAGCAGCCCATTAGACTTACCTTGTGCCAATCAATGTTGATTCAAAGTTAAACAACGCGAACTGCATGCTCGGGCGTCGAAAGAATTCCACTATAACGGCCAAATTGTGTAGGAAGAGCTGTGGATTAGGGTCCGTGGTACGAACCTCACATACCACGGAACCTTTCGGTGTGGACGCCAACATGACTGGACAAACAGGCGTAAAAGGGGAGGTAGGAAAGGGGGAGGCAACATATTTTGTTGATTTCCAGGCCCGACAAGGTAATTGTCAACAAATGCGATGATGTACAACAAAAAAAGCGATTGTGATTTGGACCGCACGCGATGACCCTGTTTTTTCAATGATTTCCTCGACATGAGCGGTGCAGCATGACGCTTCTGTGACGATACTGTGGCTGTGGCGTTTTGTTTCGAACCGGTAAGATTACCACTGGGACTAGTACTCTCCCGGTCTATTAGCCCTGTGAGCACGGAATCCTTTGGTCAGAGATCGGCATCTGGAATGGTATTTTTCTGGTATAGTTTCACCGCACCAGCCGCAGTCGTGGGATTGGCCAGACCACGTCCAAAGACGGTGACCTCGCAGCCTGAGGCCCATCGGCCACGCCGGTTGCAGCTTCAAGTCTCCATCATCTCATTTCATCCCCCCTTCTCTTTCTTCCCCATCTATTTCCTTCTCCCCACCTCGTCCTTTTTTCCTTTTACCTTTTTCTTTTTTCCCATCATTTCTCGTCCTTCGCTTAATCAAAACCCCTTCCACCCCTTTCGTTTACCCTTTCTTTGAACTTTCTTTCGTTAAGTGACTCCTATTCGGTGTGTTGGACGAACATCTATGTCCTAGTCTGTCTCCTGATCTCACATTGCGATATCACCGAATCACCGAAACAGCGACACCGTTGCCGGCCCTTTTCAACCGCTACCTGGTCTGGATATTTACCGGGTTTCGGATGATCCGTGGTGTCCACGTTAAATCGTCTATTATCTTAATACTTCCTGGTGGCTGGATTTGAAAAAAGTCCTGCCCTACCGTCTTTCGTTTCTTACATCTCGATTTCCTTACCACCAAGTTTTGACTCGGCATTCGCTGCGCGACCCACCTAGTCACAACCTGGTATTCTATTCTCTATATTGGTAACAGTGGAACATTTTACTGCTTCTTGTTCGTCCCGATAAATCCATCAACACAACTTTTCACGGTACGATATGACAACCATTTGCACAACGCCCAATTCCCCGCCCGAACTTTCCGGCTCCAAATCTTCTAAATCCTCCTCATTTCGCTCCTCGTCTCAACTCGATGGCCCCGATGGTATCTTTACGGATATATCGAACTTTGAAGACATTGGCCTTGAAGATGATGCAGACCTAGCATATAACAATGCCGTCGCCTCGCCCTATGGCCGACCCGGCCTTCCGCGGTCATCGACCGCACGAATGCAATCCAAGGCCTCAATGATCACAACGCGCGAATTGACCACTACCTCGCAACAAACAAAGGGTTCGCACAAGCCCCCGGCACAAGTCAACGGAATGCTCAGTCTACAAACACGCAGCATTGCGAGATCAAAGTCTGGGAACAAACGTGACCCTGGTAGTACCAAGTCGCCGTTACAAACGCCCAACTCTCAGCGTGCTCGATCCACATCGCCCCTTCGGCCAGCATCTCATCTGGGCTCCTCGCCGTCTACTCATAGCCTATCCTTGTCACCAGCCAATGCACGGCCTCCGTTGAACCGAAAACAGTCTTGGCAGCCAAACCGCAAGACTTTGAAGGAACTGGAGGAAGAATATCATGACTCAGATGAGGAGCTACCAGAAGACGCAAGTCTGTGGAACGTCCCAATATCTCCTCGACCTCTTGAAGATCGCCCAGCCTCTCGAAGCACAAGTCCAAACGGTCGGAGTCCGGGACCTCGGCCCCTTCCCTTATCGCACTCCGTCAAGGATGCTTCATTGCCGGGTGTAAGATCACCGAGCGGATCTCGACCTGCTCGGCCTGCCGTGCGATCTAGCTCTGCAGGCCCTGAACGTGGCCAGATTTCCCCGCGTAATCCGCGTGTTTATTCGTACAATAGCATGATGTCTGATTTGTCGGAAGAAGCAAAGATTATCACCGAGGCTCTGGAACATCATGCAGACCAGCGCGAACGGAAGCGGGGAGAAAACTTGCAAAGCGGCTTATCATCCCTGAGGTCAAGCGAGGAGTCTAAGCGGGGTTCTAGAGGCACCATTGAGCTGCCCCCGTTGCAAAAGTCCAACATTATGATTGATCCATTACCTATCAGCAAAGAAAAGGAAAAGGTCCTCACTAGAACTCGGCCCAGTTGGCTTCCTCCTAAGGATCAGAAGGAGGAAAAGAAGCATCTGAAAGAGTACAAGAGAATGATAGCGCAATCACGGGAAGCAGGTAAACTTATTCTTATTTGCTGACAATCCGGTTTATGCAGAACTTACTAACTCCACTTCAACAGACAAGCGCCGGGCAGCGAAGGCTGCCTCAGCCAAGTGCGAGAAAGACAACACCCGAGAAACACTTCAGCGTATCTGGGATGATTATGTTTACCCCAATTGGGAGAAGGCCATAGGTGAGACCAGAACACGTGAACTGTGGTGGCGTGGAATACCTGCTCGAAGCAGAGGAACAACCTGGCAGCGTGCCATCGGCAATGAGCTGTCTTTGTCCGAGGAAACGTACAAGAAGGCATTGCAGCGCGCCAAAGACGTACGGTCAAGGGCCGATGGCGATGCAGGAGAGAGTAACAAACGAATGCGAGAGTGGTTTGAGGCAATTGAAGCCGACGCATCCAAAGCATTCCCAGATTTGAAACTCTTCCAGGAAGGCGGCCCTTTACGGGAACCACTGATTGATGTATTGGAGGCATACTCTATGTATCGGAGTGACGTGGGCTATATCACCGGTCTCCATGTAAGTGACACGTCTATATAAGTTCACGCATCGTTGAAGCTAACCAGCGATAGACAATTGCTGCTCTCCTCGTCCTTCAATTCCCATCACCTTCATCTGCATTCCTCGCAATGGCCAATGCACTCAATCGATCCTTGCCTGTTGCTTTCCTCACCCTGGACCGCGGGGCGATCGGTCGTACTTACACACTAACGACTGCGACGCTTCGTTATAAATTCCCTCGCCTAGCCTCACACCTTACCGAGACGCTTCAGCTCTCGGACGAAGAGATCTGGGAACCGATGTTCCGCTCCCTCCTCACAAACGGCCTAGACCTCGAGCGTATCAGCCGCGTCTGGGATTGCTGGGTATTCGAGGGAGACCGCATCATGCTTCGAGCTGCGGTGGCGGTTCTTGGTTGCTTGCAGGCGCAACTGTTTGGGTTTACAAAACCAGATGACGAGAGCCGTGCCGCGGTTAGAGAGATCCTCGGATGGGGCCCCCGTAGTGCCGGAGCCAAGCCTAAGGAGCGCCATAGTGCTCCGGTAACATCTGCTGGGGGCTTCGGTGGCGGTCAATTCTCCAATGCCGGCATTGGTGACTACTGGATACTCACGACCGCGGGCGACGAAGATGGATTTATGAACGAGGTTAGGGAAGCGGGCAAAGTGCGGGATTAAATGTTTGCCCGTTGGAGTTAATTTTTTTTTCAATTCATTCAGCCACTCTTTCCCTCGCGAGGCTATTTATTTTACTACTTGTATACCTACCGTTCGTTTGACTTATGCGTTTTCCCTTAACTTCTTGCCATTGGATATATTTATTCTATAGCTGCTTAGGGCATTTCATGCCAACTAAGCTAATTATCACTTACACTTGATGTCCTACAACTCATCTCATGGATCGTAGTTTAAATTATCCAAATCTGAGGACAATTGTACAGCTCCGGATGCCAGCAGGGTGCTATCTAAGCCGCATCTGCCAACCAGGAAGTACATCCCTACCATAGACTTGTCGACATGCGTAATTACAAATAAATGTCCACTACGTCTCCAGTCTCCTACGTCAATTCTGCAAGTCGCTACTAATCTAGGTAATATCTCTCAAAGCTTAACACATGCTAAGCTTTAGGCGTAGTCTTGGCTATGCAAGCATGATGCATGGATGTTTTGAAATCTGCCCAGTTGACACTCGTATTAGTCACTCGTGCCACGAATTCTGTATATGCTAAGCAATAAAAGGAGAGATATACGGAAGAGTATATCACCGATATCTGGTATCACTTGGTTGTATATTCCTTTCGGAATCTACTTTCATAAGTTCACATCCGACTTGTGACATGTCAGTCACTCGCATTATGTATTCCAATTGCAAGCATGTACATGAACTTATAAACACTATTGCTACCATTTCCATTTTCATGAACCTTCTCATACATCATCTTTGGATCGAAGATATCTCATCCATCTAAAATGCCAGAAAAATTGTACTCATATTGTTTTACCTCCGGCTAAAGCACAATCACCAAGCGATCTTCGCAATTATACTCCTCGGGAACTGTCGCACAAGCAGCTTTCGAAGCTCATCCATAAGCAGGATCCCCAGCGCCAGCGCTAAAGGAATAAACCAGAACTCGATGGGGACCGGCGCGGTGTTAAATAATTTATGAAATCCAGGGACCTCGGTAACGAAAATTGCGATGACGAGGGATATGGCCATCGACAAGGGGAGCCAGGGGTTACGGCGTTGTTTGCGGACGGGGTCTGCTTGGAGGATGGACATGCGTTTGTTTCGGACAGAGAGGATGTTGCCCCACTGTAGCATGACGAGACTGACAAAGTAGACACCTTGGCCGACGTTGTTGAAGTTGGTTAGCTCGTCCTGGGTGTAGCCGTAGAAGCCATCGGAGTACTTTTCGAACGCGAAGATGAGGGCGTGGAAGGGGATTCCCGCTTTCTTGTACATGTACAGGAAGAACATTGAGTGGGCGCAGAAGGCTTCCATGACGCCGACAAAGAGGTATGATTGACCATATATCTTGAGGTTGATTAGGTGGTCCTTTTTGTGATTTCGAGGGGGCACGCTGAGGAGGTCATATTCCTCCTTCTCCATGATGAGAGAAAGGGAGCAGAATAGGTCTGTAAATACGCAGATGATGATCATGAGGAAGGAGCTCAAAGGTAGCGGGACGCCGAAGAATACGTTCATCAGGACTGGCCAGATCTCCGACCAACTACCGGCGGGTAGCAGATATGCGATCAGCTTTTGGAGGTTTTGGAACACCAGCCGGCCCAGTCGGATGGCTTGGGCAATAGAGTCGAATCGGTCTAGGAGAACCAAGTCGGCTGCTTCGATTGCAACATCACTGCCGGAGACCACTGCAATTCCAATGTCAGCTGCTCGTAGTGCTGGAGCATCATTGACTCCGTCTCCTGTTACTGCAACGACATTGTCCCGGCTCTTGAGCTCTTCTACAATGCGATATTTTTGTTCAGGAGTTGTTCGAGCGAACACGATTTCCTCGTACTTGCATATGGTGTCCCATTGCCAGTCGTTTAGGGTTGGAATGTGCTTGCCATCAACGAGGAGACTATGGCGAGAGTGTATCGGCTGCTTCTCACCAATCTCGCCGTTCGTGAAGGGCTTCAGGTCATCTACGGTATCTGGCTCAGCAGTACCACTGAAGATACCTATGTCTCTTGCGATTGCTGCAGCAGTCAGACCGAAGTCACCCGTAACCATGAAAAAACGAACTCCTGCTCTTCGACAAGCCGCAACCGTCTCGGCAGTTTCTGGACGAGGGGGATCAATTATTCCAAAAATTCCAGTAACTGTTAAATTTTGGACACATTCAGCCAATACCTCGTCGCTGAAGTCGTTAGACCCAACAGCTGCACGAGGAATGAACCGTCGCTGACAGATAACAATAACACGCTCAGCGCGTCGGGACAATTCGGCTTGGAAGTTCGAGAACAGCCCTTTTGCATTCTCATCCAGCATTTTGACTGTGTTATCGATGCCTGATAGATACGAAGTGCATTTTGGAAGTAATACGTCCGGTGCACCTTTGACGAAGACAAGATATCCATCTGGATCGGTGGGATCCCGATGAATCGTGAGCATCCATTTGTTCTTCGAGTTGAAGGGAACTTGATGAATTCTTTCGAAAACCGATAGCTGATTACGACCGTCGGGCATGATAGACTCGGCGAAGCGTAGGACAGCGGCATCAGTGGCATTGCCCGTGACACCTCGCTCAATGACTGGAAGAGCAATTGTCGCCGGATCAAAGAAAGCGTCGTTGCACAACAGCGATCCGCGCAGTAAACTCTTCAGGGACTCTGACATCTCATTTCGCTGTATATTAGGAAGTTGTTTTACGTCAAGCGCCGTATCGAGCAGCCCTAGCGACCTGACTGACATTTTATTCTGAGTTAAAGTGCCGGTCTTGTCCGAGCAGATAACGTTCACGCAACCCAAAGTCTCAACCGTGGCAAGACCTTTGGGTAGGATGTTGGCCTTCTTCATACGCTTTGCAACCATCATGAGAGTGAGAGCAACGCCGACTGGCATGCCTTCGGGTATGAAAGCAACAACGCAGCCCATCACATTATTCAACATTGCCACGACATTCATGAAGGAATAATGGTCAACACGCAACCAGCCGACCCAGGTGAATAGAATAATCAAGACCAACGTGATGGTAAGACCAATGATAATCGTAACAAACCGTGTAATCTCTTTTTGGATCAATGTTGGCTTCTCCTTGACGCCAGCAGTCATCTTGGCTATACGACCCATCACAGAACGACTACCAGTAAGCACCACCATGCCAACCGCATTTCCATTTGTCACACTGGTACCCATGAAAGCAATGTTTCTTGTTTCTAGAAAATTGTTGTCTGTAGCGTCTATTGCTCCGTCGATCTCATCAGACTCACCCGTGAGCACTGCGCGATCGAAGCGAACGTCTCCCGAGCTTCGGAAGAGACGCATATCTGCCGGGACCTTATTTCCAATACCGACGTACACTATGTCACCAGCGACAAGCTCCGTTGAAGGAACTCTTGTCTGTTTCCCGTCGCGTAGCACGAGCGCTTCGGATGGGAGCAGATTGAGTATCGAGTTCATCACATGCTTTGTAGACCAGTCCTGAAAGGCTGAGAAACTTGCTTGCAGAACGATAACGATAATGACCAAGATCGCCATTGCAAGGCTAGGAACGGAGGGGGGGTCGCTCAAAGGTTTCCAGCAGATGAAGAAGATAATAACACCAATCCACAGCACCGAACAGAAACCGCCGAAGACATAACCGAGAATCTTTTTGATGTAGTTTTCTCGGTGGTGTGCTATTACGTTCTTGCCATCGCGCTGGAGTCGTTGAGCAGCAGCTGATGAACTGAGTCCATATCTGCAATCGACATTGAGTTGCTGAGACAATCTGTCTGTGTTGAGGATATGAAAGTCTAAGCTCTCAAAGTAGTCCTGATCCGGATGCTTCTCCTTCTCTTGCCTTTCTTTTATAACTTCTTCTGTAGCTCTCTGCGCCTCCGATATTTGGATAGATAGAGTTCGGAATTCGATAGGGATACCAGCTGTCCCAGAGCTCTGCACGCCACTTCGCCCGCTCTTCACCGAGTCCCTGCTGAGGGAACGGGGGCGATTAGACTGTTGGGGTTGATAGGCTACCCCCTGAGTCTCCGAGGATGACGTACCATCAAACCTGATGGTTGTCCTCCGTTCTGGACGACCCAAGCGTTGTTCACCTGTTTCTAAATCCTTCTCAGAAGGGTCTGAAGACGACGGCGAATCGGCCATGGTATATGTGGCAAGTTATCAATATGCAAAATAACAAGGATAGCAAGATGTAGGAAAGCTTCGAAGGCGCTACCAGGTCGTATAAAGTACAGGGGAGAGAGAGAAGGGGGAGTTTGAGGAAGAAGAGGTAAGATTTTGGGCAGAGATCTCAGCTTACAGCTGTGTAGTATTTATCCTTCCGGCATTGAGTAGGCCGCCATCATTCCTAGCCATATGGAGAGGGGAAACGGAAGAATAATGTGATGGAATCGGCCAGAGAGTGAGTGGACATTGGTCAGAGAAGCGATACGGGTCTTCGCTTGGGAAAAACCTGAGCAGCTAGCCAGATGAAACTAGCCCATGAGGGAATAAGACAGTATGAAAGAATTAACGAGATCGTGGGTAAACTGAACACGAAGGATGGCAAATGGATACCTCCTCGACGACTAGGTAGGATTCGATGACAGATGGATTGCCGTTCTGGGTAATCCATGGGCTACCTCAGGTACCGGAAGGAGGATGGCCACTCTCCATTTCATATCAGGTTCATTTGTAGTCGACCAGCGAGGGAATTTTCCCATCCAACGGCCTCGAACGTGGCAGATACCGTTCCTGAGATCATGGTGATGGTAGTGGCAGAGTAAAATCCCGCAGCCATTCCGTCAAATGGCTTTCGTCCTCAATAGGGTTGGATCAAGCTCAAACTAGGTGAGCGGGTGCGCCATAGTAGCCCACGACTTTGGTCGAGGACTTTTGTCCACCGAGGCTCGCGTGGATCGCATGGTTGTAGTATTGCGATCGATTTTCTTGTCGCTTAATCTCCGGCGGGTGATGTGTGGTTGAGGAAAATGCCTCAAGACATCCAAATTAAACGAACTGTCGCCGCGTTCAGATTTCACCACTACCTGCGCCTTTTATTCCGACCAATGATAACATTCTGCCTTAAACTTTCCACGCGTTTTCAAGTTCATTTTATTAGCCCACTCAGTCCGTCTTTTTCCAAAATAGAATGTGTCATAATGAATGGAAATTTAATTTGCTACCTCATGACATTCCATCCAACTTCACTCGTGGCTTGAAGAGGTAATCCGAGTCGTTTGGACACCTGAGCCCTAATCCAGCAGCTCCGCTCTGTACCTCCCAGGTCTTAGCGCTCGCTCGTCGAGGCCCATAAGTAAAATTTCCCATGCTCTATCGATATATGGTGAGATTAGAAAATCATTTGTATAGGATGGCGTCTATCATTCTTGACGAGGTCTTTCTTTCTAATTATTCGCTCTGAATATCCAACTTCTTCATACTGCATGCTAGGTCAATTGGTCATTAACAGAAAATATCCAGACATCGGCACGTGGCAGTCGAACAGTTTGGGTAAGAGGGAAGCGGCTATTTCCCTCTACGGAGGGTGAGCTTCAGCAATCATTCAATCTACAAATGCAGGGGTCGGTCAATATTGTTGTGACGAATACAAAATGTAAGCTGAGGCTGATGCTAAATTTTATTTCCTTTTTTTTTTTTCTCTTTTTCCCTGCACCACTCAAGCCAGGTATACCAGTCATGGTAAGTGAATCAAAAGGTGGTGATATGATTGAAAATCTTATACATATTTGTGACACTCAACCTGTACTCCTCTGTCAGTAATGCAGAAGTAGAGTTTGGATTACAACAATACCCCCATGTGGGTTTCCGACATTAATGATTGCCATATTGACGAATGCGATAAAGAAAACATTGAAAAAAAAAAATGTAGCTTCAAATTCACCCCGAATACTAGAAGAGGCGTTGTTTACTTTTGAACTCGACTCTGCCGGGAATCAAAGTTCCATCATCCCGCCATTTCCCCAGGTTTTTTTACCTAAGAAATTTGGACGAGGGCTTTCTTCATCCAATCCGATCAAGGACGAGGTAATTTATGCTGTACCACTCACGGCCTTACACTGACAACCTGAGATACTAAACAATGTCACACCGACCCCCCTACATAGGATTTAACCAATTAGCGCAACGGCTTCATGGGATTTACATGGTCAGTTGACCCAATCCAGGCATCACTTATATATAAGTGCTCAGACATCGGATCGTGCACTCGATTGATCTGCGTATATAAAAGCTCTCTGCCGCCATACTAAATCGCAGCAAAAGCCATACAATCCATAATGTCTCAAGTACAAAATTCCTACAGTACATGTACTACTCATCAGCATCAACTGAAACTGGAACCCCCCGAACATAAATCAAGCCTTAAATTGCTGTCTACTTTGACATTTCCGAATGTCCTGGCACGCTGCTGGTTACCCAGAGAATCAATCGACGACGAAGAAAGGCAGACTTTATTGACTCCCTCTTCTACTGCCCCTTCAACATTAACAGAGAGATACGGTCTATCCACCATCATACTGCACTACGGCGTCCACAGCTCCGTACGAATATATACCCGGAAATCTTCGCCCGCGGGTGCTGCCAGGCAGCTTCATGTCGTCAAAATCCTCCGTCGATCATCGGACGCTCTCGTCAGAGCTACCCAGAATTTCGAACAGTCTCTCTCCTCGGCCGTGTCACACCCTAACCTTCTTCAAACCATCGATGTCCTCCAGAACGAACATGGTGAGACCTGTCTCGTCATGGACTATTGTGCCGGCGGAAATCTGAACACCCTGATCGCCACGGCCGAAGGCAATATAGACATAATCCAAGCAGACTGTTTCTTTAAGCAGATCATGCGTGCCGTGACATATCTTCATGACAACGCAATTGCGCATCGAGGTCTGAAGACGGAAAATATCCTTCTTACTGCCCATGGCGCAGTGAAAGTGGCCGACTTTGGGAGTGCGGAGTGGTTGTTAGATGAAGTTGCCAATGGGGAACATGCTGAGAACAGGATACGTCTGCAACTGTCCTCATTGTACTCTCCACGGAAATTGCCGGGATCGATACCTTACCTTCCGCCAGAGGAATTTAGTGACTATGCGGCGATTGATCCGAGAGCGAGCGATGTATGGGCCGCAGGACTTGTGTACATGGCTATGAGATGTGGTCGGTTACTTTGGAGGATGCCTTGTGTGGATGAGGATGGGGGCTATAGTGCGTACCTTCGGGGGCGACAAACGTATGACGGATATCCTCCGATTGAAGCGTTGGAAGAGGTATGATGCAGTTCGGGCTTTCGAGGACTTGGTGAAAGTCTCTTTGTGCTGATCATTGGTTAGACGCGTTGTCGGAATGTGATATATGCGATGTTGCATCCTGATCCTGTCCGGAGAATCAAGGCATCCGAGGTACTTCGGTCTGAGTGGGTATACTATGTAAAGGTGTGTGATGCAGGAGAAATGGGGTGGTAAGTGTGCTTGACCGCTATGTGTATTTGGCTGGCTCCAAATGCCATATACGATCAACTAATAACATCCCTCTGGGATGAAATAATCATTTGGAGATTATCATTGACATGCACTCATGGCTGTTTTAAGATTAACTACAATACATGTTATGTGTCACCTAATCATACATGTTCTAGACGGTTCCAGCCGCCAGCACATATCCTCCATCTACCACGATGGTCTGTCCATTAAGATACTGGTTGGTTGTAGAGAAGAGCACGGCATTGGCCATGTCCTCGTCCTTACCGGGTCGAGCAGCAGGAACCTTACCCTCATACTTCTCCTTAGCAAGTTCACTCTTCTGCTTCTCGTCACTCTCACCAGCCGTCATCTCACTGGGGAAAACACCTGGGGCGATGTTATTAACGCGAATCCGCAAACCAGACGAAGCGACCTCATGCGCCAGCATCTTAGTCAAGTGGATAGCAGCAGCCTTCGATGCGTTATAAGCGAAATGATGCTGCGACACCTTGACGATACCGGAAATCGACGAAATATTAATCACGGTACTAGACCAGCCCTTTTCCTGCTCAGAGCCCTTCTGAAGCAATGGTAAAAACGCAGTAGTAGTCATGAAGAGCTGAGTAACATTCGTGCGGTACACATCATCCCATTCCTGGGGGTCAAGAGCACTGCTCTCGAACAACTCCTTGCGCAGCTCCTTAGGATCCTCCTTCTCGGTCGTCTGGGTTGAGCTGCTAATTCCGGCGTTGTTAATTAGGATGGAGAGGTACTTTTCGCGCGAGGAGATCTCTTGCACCAGCTTGTCGACCGAGCTCTTATCTGTGATGTCTGATGTGATTGGGATGATCTCGCCCGGGATGTTCTTGCTGTATAGTTCTGCAACGCGGTCGAGCTTCTCACCGGTTCGACCGGTGATGTAGACTTTGGCTCCGTTGACAGCCAGAGCTTGAGTGGCCATCAGACCGATGCCTGAGCCTCCTCCTGTGATGAGAGCAACTGGTTCTCATTAGTATCTAGAACGTATCGTGATCAATGGCCCACTTAGAACGTACCTTTACCCTTAACATTGAAGAGGTTCTCGAGCTTAAAGTTCTCATTGCTTGCCTTGGCCTCCATTTTGATAGCCTCAGAGACGTTTCGATATGACGTAGCAATAAAAGATTTAGGCGCTGATGTAGAGAATTGAGCTCTAGAATAGACTAGGAAGGGTTTCTGAAGAGCGCTATAGCTTAATCTGTGGTTGTGGCGGATCAGACAGCTCGGTTTAAGAAAGCGTGAGAGGATGTTCTGGCGGTACATGATGGAATTGAAATCGAGCTAAGTAGGGAAGGAAGAGCATTTTATACGTCAGTGGGGGGAGCCAGCGCACGCAATTGCGTAAAATGTTGGTTGTTAGTATCCATGTCGTTGTTTGTGAGATGTGGTGAGGCAGGTATTGCCTCATCAGTATGACGTCGAGTCTGCGTCGGATGAGTTTTTTGGACTTATGTAGGTCATTGTGATATAGTTTGTGTTTAAAAATAGGTAATGGTTGTCTATTCCTGTATATTTTATACATACGTGCCCTGGTCTAGGGGTGTATAGTTCCTAGATCTAGTGCTTTATCTCGGTCCCTGACTTATTCTTAGGATGAGATACAGATCATTCCTTTACTTGAGTGGGCTTGAGCTCTCTTCTACTCTCAACCATAACCTTTTGATTTTATGTTTGTGATTGTAGTCCACGAAGACAATAATTGCAATGCCGCGATCTTATTATTAGACAGGAGGTATATGCATGCGACAGACCAGCTGCCTACAGTTTGGCCTTGGCTCCAATAGCCTCGCTCACAGGAGCCACCTCGACCATCATTTTGCCCGTATTGACACCCCCATACAGGTCTACCAAACCCTGAGGCGCAGCCTCCAATCCACCCGGAACAATGTGCTCCTTGCGCTTGATTTTACCCTGTGTCAGCCACTCAGACAAGTCCTTCAGTGCGATCGGGTATTTCTTAGCGTAGTCGAAGACGATGAAACCCTTCATGGTCACTCGTTGCGACTAAAAAAAATGTTATCAGCAGCTATTCATAATGTGTAAAGCGCACGGGAAACTTACAATGACAGTCATAAAGCTAGCTGGACCCTGCGGCCTGGCAGAGTTATATTGACTGATCGCACCGCAGATGGCGAACCGAGCGTCGCGCGCAGCCCGAGCAAGACAGGCATCAAGAATTTCACCTCCGGTGTTATCAAAGAAGACATCGATGTACTCCGGAGTCGCGTCCTTCAATTGCTTTTTCCAATCCTTGTCCTTGTAGTTGATAGCAGCATCGAACCCTAACTCGTTGCGCAGGAAAGCACATTTCTCAGCGCTACCTGCCAGCCCAACGACTCTCTTTGCACCCTTGATCTTAGCGATCTGTCCGGCCACCATGCCCGTCGCACCCGCAGCGCCTGAGACAACAACAGTGTCCCCTGGCTTCGGTTGTCCAACTTCCGTCATGCCAAAGTATGCCGTCAGACCAGTCATGCCCAGTACCGACATTGCATCAGTCGGCTTGCATCCCGGGGGAATGACCACCTTCTGTGCCTCCTTTTGTCCCAGCAGGGCATACTCTTGCCAGCCCGAGTAAGCGATCACCCAGTCTCCAGCTTTGTATTGAGTTTTAAGGTTGCTTCCGACGCCGATCACTTGAGCGATACTCTGGCCGCGCATGACGCTACCGCGCTCGACAGGGGCGATGTACGATCGCTTGGCTGTGAGCCATTGCCGCATGGCCGGGTCGAGCGAAAGGTAGTGTACGCGCACAAGGACTTTGTCATCGGGGACATTGTCGGAGATAGTTGTGGCTGAGATCTTGAAGGTGCCGTTCGACGAGGGATCGATTGCCGGGGAGGGCGTATTGGCGTAGATGGCTTGTCGGTTGGTGATAGGCATTTTGGTCGAACTCAGTAGTACTTCCCAGGGATTCTAGAGTGAACAAAGGTGAATAAAGAGAAACAGATAGACATATAAAGGGACGATATCCTCTGTCTAGGAGTGAGCGTTGACAGAGGGTCAGCGGTCGCTGAAACAAAGCGACGAATGAACCTCGGCTGCTAGATCCATAACCGAATTGGTAAGTTCACTAATCACCAAAGTTCGCTGTCTATTTCGAGAGACACACTGGCCACACCCAGTAAACCTTATTGTCAACCATGTACTCTTTAAGAGTACACGAGTCAAGCAACCCTTGGTCCATAGAAAACTCTTTGCGGGCATGCCCATGGGTATACGGAAGAGTTCTTCGAAAATCAACGAATTGAGGAGCACTGCTGACTCATCAGCATAGGTAATTAACTAACTATGAAGCCAAGATGATGTAAGAGCCGCAGCACTTATCAAATCGTTATCGGCGATAAGGCATCATGTTTCGTTGTTTTTGCTTTCTAGCTTCGACACAAATCGTCATTGTTCCTTACTGAAACGTTAATTGATGCAAAATGCCAGCCATTGATGCAACTTGGTTCTATTCACAGTTATTTTCCATTCCCAGAGAGATGAAGATCTACATATCTTCCATGGTGAAGAACAATTGGAAATGCCCCTGAGGTAGCGTCTGACGTCATAGACACATCAGGTATGATGTCGCAGAGTCTGGGGTGTTGACAACTCGAATATATAAAGAACTGAGGGCGATAGGCCTCGTAGGGCTTAAATCCATTCTTAAGCATAGACATATTCTTTAAATCAAAGAATATCACAAGAGACAGTCCAGGAGAAAGTTCAATCATCTACAACACTACATACATCATACATCATACATCATGAGCAGCACGCAGCCACCTTACTATTCCTCCTCCTTCGGGGATCCCACTCAGCACCCCAGCTCGTCTCAACCGATTGGCACTCAGGTTGGGGGCGTTGACCCTAGTGATCCTCGTACTGGGCCTGCTCCACACACAGCTGGCCCACACAAGTCCGACATAGCCAACAAGCTCGATCCTCGTGTGGATAGTGACCTGAGCAAGGAGAAGCAGTCAAGCCACGCCGGCGTTGGTGCAGCTGGTGGCGCTAGCAACACCCGTTCAGGATCTGCCCAGAAGACGGCGGGTCCTCACACCTCGGACACTGGTAATAAGCTTGACCCTCGTGTCGACAGCGATATGGATAACCGTGCCCGTCACGCACCAGGCACCGCGGCCAGCGATGGCCGTACAGGGCCTGCCCCTAGAACTGCTGGGCCCCATGAATCTGACATGGGTAACAAGCTTGACCCCCGTATTGACAGTGACATAGACAATCGTGCGTCAGGGGCCGTGTCGAGCAATACTCGTGCTGGACACACTCAAAGAACCGCCGGTCCCCACGAGTCTGACATGGGCAACAAACTTGACCCTCGTGTTGACAGCGATGTGGACAACCGTGCTCAGTATGCACCACAAACCACTCACAACCGTAACGCCTCCCACATGGCCGGTACTGGAGCCACTACTTCCAGCACGACTGGTCCTCACAGCTCTAAGATTGGCAACAAGATGGACCCTCGTGTTGACAGTGACCTCGACAACCGCGCTCAGTACGCCCCAGGCACTACGAAGACGGGTAACGAAAACCCTTATGCTACGCAGAACACCACGCTTAGCAGCGGTTCCAACGCTGGGCCCCATGAGTCTAAGATGATGAACAAGCTCGATCCTCGCGTGGACGCCCAAACTGGCGACGTGTCTTCCAAGACAACCAGCCAGCCTCATGGCTCTCAGTTCACCGGTAACACCGATTCTCAATATGGGACCAATGCCACTGGGCCATCTACCGGAGCCGGGTACGCGTCCAGCGGCGTAGGATACCGACCTGCAGAGTCATCTAGCAGCGCACCTGGGTCCAGGGCTGCTCAGAAGGGTGCAGATGTTGGTTCCGGTGTGAAGGGAGCTTTTGCCGGCGCTCACGTAAGTAATACTTCCGGCTATGCTTGAATACGACTAACATTTTTCGAATAGGGCATGGGAGAATCTCTCCGCGGTGGTCTTAATGCGGCGGTCGATAAGACCTTTGGCCACGAAGAGGGCGTCGCAAAGAACGATGCTATTGCCAGCCAAGGGGAACGGGAGATACGCACTGGAAACTTCGGCCGAGGAAATGCTTACTGAGATGACCACACTGGGCGATTATGGGTTACGACGCTACGATAAGTTTGTATTTTATGCATATGTCCATTAATTTTCCAAGTTGCGTTTGATCATTGGTGGAAATGAGATTGGTAGTGCAGTTCCTGTATTATATTGAGTCTGAGAGCCATTCCATACGGAGAACACCAATGATGATTATTTTATACGAATACGAGCACGGACGTAAAAAATAAAACAAAATGAATAATCCCTAATTTCACAATACTATGTCCGGACTCTACGGAGCATTGCAAGTACTTAGGACAAGTTTTTCCCCGGAAGTAGCGGAAGTTCACTATAAGTTACCAGATCTACGCCGATAGATGGAACCAATCAAACGGGTGGCGGGAACCATAGTTGATGTGATCGATCCGATCAGGTGCATGCAAGATGACTTCACGAACCAAATTTCAATCACAGCAAGAGCCTTTGGACTCGATGTAATGATGAACACATTTTTCTTGCGTTTTAATAGGGCCCAACACATAGCATTCGACAGACAAGCAATTTCCACCCTCATGGTAACGATGAGTTTGTGGGTCCATCCTCCCATATGCCAAACCGTTTTGGTTTTTAAGATTTCGAACTATTGCTCAATAAATCGCAACCATGAATAATGACAATAAAATTTTTATGAAAAAATAACAAACAGTAATCGACGGAGAACTCTCTTACAGGAAGCTTCTTCCGGACTTGCCGGAGGCTGTGCAATCACTGTAGTGGGACCTCTCTCCTCTTATTATTTTTATTATTCCTTTTTTTTTTTCTCTTCTCCCTCTTCTCCCAATTCTTATTACACACACTACTCCACTGGGTGCAACCACAAAACTAATCAATGATCCATTGAGTCAAGGAACAGCTGAGGAAAGAAAAAAAATCAAAAACACAGAAAAAAGGAACGGTATTTCGATTACTACACGCGGAAGCCACGAACCAAATACCCGCTAACAAAGGTTCCGTTTCCTTGGTATCGGCAGTACGAATACGATATCCAACGATATCCAAACCTGATAAAGCATCATTCCTTTTTTGGCACCTTCTCTCAAATTATTTTAGCCCCGTTATTCGTTATTAGTTCGTTCGACTCCAGTTCGACTATTGCCATTAACACCTGTTTTATTTCACATGTGATTACTCCTGCAGATTGTTTCTGTTGGAATCATACTATTATTATAATTATTGTTGTTTATCATTATCATTATTATTATTATTAGAACATTTCTCTCTTTGCTGATCTATTTCTTTCCTGATATACATCTTGTCTTATATCATTGAATTCGCAACATCGCCTTCCCTGCATGTTTGAACCGAAGTTTTTACTTGTCATCCCCCCTCATATTGCCCTCGAATATGGCTGTCCCCGCAGCTCCACCTGCAAGCCATGATCCGGTCAATGCCGCTGGGGAGCCCTCGCAGGCTCTCCAGAGACCTTTAATTGCTGGAAATACCAGCTCTGACAGCGACGAACCGGTCGTAAACGGTGTGGATGTTGCTCGAGAAGACGAGGCGGACGGAATGGTCGGTGTCAGCATCAGTCGAGCCCAAAGTCGCATGAAGGCCCGTTCGACTCCGGCGGAGGAAAAGACACGCGCGATGGAACACAATGGGGGCTATTTTGACCCCATTCCAGACACCGACGACTCGAATGGCCTTTATACTTCCGAGATCACTGATGAACCGGAACAACTATCACAGACCTCGAAGCTGGAGGTTAGCCAACCGTCAGTTTCGCCCCAGACTGAGGCACACCAAAACGGAACAGCTTTTTCTAAAGATGGTGCCAACAGTCGCACCAGTTTCACTCGGTCGATCTTGAAGAACGGCTTGCCACTGCGGCCTCGGGCTTGGTCGGGCGATACCATGAAGAAGTTCCTGCCCGATTTAGGGTATCTTACTAAACGGACTTCTTTGCCTTTCCGCTCTTCGCAAAATCGCTCTCGCAGTCAGACCCTGAAACCTTCCTCGTCCAAGTTGGCGCTTGGCCAAGAAGAAGAATCTCATGCAAAGCCAAGGCGCAGATCGTGGAACGACTCCGACTCTAACAACGGGCTCGTTGATGAGCCAATCTCCGATCTGAAGCCCCTTGACGGCGCGACGGCAGCCAAGCATTCGTTTACCCGTCGGCCCAGCACGACTGTTTCAGGTGCGCCGTTGATGCTTAGGAGATCATCTTCTGACCAATCCTTGTATCTGAGAGCATCGTCCACTGCGTCGTCACTCGATCAGCGGCCCCAGTATGAGCACATTCACTCTCAAGTCAACAGCCGGTTCAAGGCCATCAAGGACAGTCTACAGGACTCGAGCAGCCGCTTGCTTAGCATGCCCAGCTTGCACTTACAGGACTTGCGGAGTGACTGGGGCTACAAACCGTTCCTGGGAGATGTTGTGAATCGGAAGGGCAACAACTACGCCGATGAATTGCCACCTACGAGTGACGCGCCTCGAGAGCAAGCGCCACCTCAATTTGGAGCGCGTCCACCGCGAGCTAACTCCAATACGTGGCATCCCATATTAAACGAAGCTATGTCTGAGTTAATGGGCGATGTTGTTATCATGGGAGGCTACCGAGGCTCTGTCTTACGTTCCGCTAAACCACCACAGCGTCAGCTGTGGGTTCCGATGAAAGTTGGGCTAAATCTTCGCAAAGTGGACCTTGAAGTCGGCCTGAATCCGGAGGATGAGGAGCGCATGGAGGAAACTATTATTCCCTCCGGAGTTCTATCGCATGTCGGGCCAGTTGACATTTGTCGTCGACTGATGAAACACCTCCGAAAGTCCGAGAATGCTGTCAAGGGTGACCTCCGCGTCTGGGATTATGGTTACGATTGGCGCTTGAGCCCACATCTCCTCTCAAAAAAGCTGATCAAGTTCCTGGAGGGCTTGCCCTGTAATGCGCCCGGTGTCCCGCCCGAAAAGCGGGGTGCTTGGGTTGTTGCGCACAGTCTAGGAGGGCTGATCACCCGCCACGCCGTAAACCAACGTCCGGAACTCTTTGCTGGTGTTCTCTACGCTGGTGTCCCGCAACACTGTGTCAATATCCTAGGCCCTCTTCGCAATGGGGATGATGTATTGCTCAGTTCTCGTGTGCTCACGGCTCAAGTGAACTTCACATTCCGAACCAGCTTTGCCCTCCTTCCTGAAGATGGGCACTGTTTCATCGATAAGCGCACCAAAGAAGAATATCGTGTGGACTTCTTCAACGTCCAGTCTTGGGACGAATACCGGCTCTCGCCCGTCATCAGCCAAGCCCTCCCACCCATGACAAACAAAGGCTTCGGCCTTGGAGGTAACATCGGGAAACGCTTCTCCGCTGTTCTGGGTAGCAAGGATAGCTTGCCATCTGAGGATACACCCGACGACGAGCATCAAGATCCGAACCAGACCAGTCACAGCAATCCAAATCCCATTACCGACCCAGCTGAGAAGCTAGCCCCGAGCATTGAGGGCATTGTTGGCCCGACGTCCAACCTCCGCGGCTCGGCTAATGTCAAAGCCACCACTACCGTTACCATCCCCCGAGCTACAGCCATAACCTATCTCGAACGCACACTCACCGAAGTCCGTCGCTTCAAGCAAGAACTCGCTTTCAACCCCTCTCATCAATCCAGCAACAGCTACCCGCCTTTCGCAGTTCTATACGGCAAATCTGTTCCCACCGTCTATGGCGCGCGCATCTCGACGCGCGAACAAATTAAACATCAAGATGCCTACGATGACCTCGCCTTCGCCGCAGGGGACGGCGTCTGTCTCGCGTCCGCGGCAATGCTGCCCCCAGGTTATCGAATCATTAAGCATGGCCTGGTGAGAAGCGATCGCGGTCACGTCGGATTATTGGGCGATCTGGAAGGCGTCGGCCAATGTCTTCGGGCTTTGGTGCGCGGAAGACGAGAAGGTGTAGGAATCAGCGATTCACCATTATCGACCTGAAGATACCTCTCCTCTCCTCTTCTATATTTTCTCTCCCTTTTGAAGCGATACCCTTGCTCCCCTCTCTTATAGAAGAAAAATCATCCTCATTCTGTCACCTCACCCAATATTTCTTCCTAAGGCTTATTTCTGACATATTTGCCTTGGATCATGCTCACGATGATGATCATACGAGTAATGACAAAAATTGCATTACATCTCCACATTATCCGAAAGAACTATATCTTGCATAAAGTGCTGCGGTACTATATCTGTATATATTTACTGTTTATATAGAGACCTGTATATACAACAACCCGAGTCTATCTGTTACTTTTTTCTTCTTTTTTTTGGGAACCGTAACCACATAATCTATATTCATCTCATACAACTGTCCCGAAATCTAAGCAAAAGAAAGGAAAATAGATAGAACCCCTTTAAAAAGAACCAAAATTGTGAAATATGAAACACGCCTTTATGCCAAAAATAAACGAAAAAAATGAACCAAGGCATGATAGGACATGATAAAATGAAAAGCTCCCTCTAACCCGTCCGGGAGTTGGCAATGTTCAGGACTAGAATGTCCGTCGCACCGACCTTGGTCAACTCGTCCATCACGGTGGCGATCTTCTTCTTCTCGACCATCGAGCTGACGGCCACCCAGCCGTCTTCCTCGAGCGCGGTCACAGTCGGAGCGCGCTTGCCCGGTGTGATGCCGGCGGCAGTGGAGAGTTTAGAGCGAGGAATGTTGTACTGGCACAGGACGTACTTCTGGGCGGCTGTAGTGAGGAAACGCATGTTAGCAAATGTAGGGGCAAGGATGGATGAGAGTTGTAAAGGAGAGGGCAGCATACTGATGACACCACGGATACGAGAGGTGATGAGTTCGACAAGAGGGTTCTGGGTGTTCCGGGACTTGACGAGAACAGAAGTACTCTCGACCACGGTATCGATGGCCTTAAGACCAGCAGCCTTCATAGTTTCACCGGACTCTGTGCGACATATATTAGTCTCATTTCCAGCGATTAGGGTGGTGCCAAGCCATCAACATACCAACAAGGTCGACAATGCCATCG